AACCATCTCCAAGGAGGAGAAGCTTGCAGATCCCTCTCACCGTTTTAGAATATATGAAGAAATCACGCACGGTTTTAAAAGCATGACTAGAGAACTGGCCATGGACAAGAACACGCAATTACTGGAGAGGAAATTCAAAGGGACAGAAAGCTGTGCCGGCAGCATCGTCGCCGTAGGCGGGTCTGCGCGTCAAGGCACTCAGGGTCAGGAAGGCTGACCACCGGGAAGTTGGTTCAGAAGTCCTGAGCCGCCCGCCTCTCAGTGAAATAAAGTTACTCCCCCCCACCCCCCAAAAAGATGTTCCCTGCTAGTCCCACTCAAAACCCAAACCAAACCAAACCACAGGCACGGAGTCTCACCCAGGAGAATGCCAATTAAAGGCTGAATGAGATCTCACTCCCATCCATGTTTTGGTGGCAAGGATGTAAACATTTGGCAGTAGCAAGGGTGTGGAGGGGTGAGAACTCTTGTACACTATCTGCGCGGTAAAGATTGGTACAGCCAAGTTCTAAAGAAAATGTTGCACAAGTGGGTATGCGACACAGATAGTCAATTCAGCGTGTATATGATACCAAAAAACAAAAATTAAGAAAAGGTTCATCAGTTAACTGTCATATATGTCAAAATCACTGCCATCTCATCAGTGCTGACTGACAGAGGCTCCACCCAGGGTTTCCGAGGTCTGATCCTTTTCCTGAGCAGACAGCTTCAGCTTTTTCCCAAGCAGCAGTTGCTAGTGGCTTTGAGGGGTTTGGGAGCACCAAGGAGACCCCTACATTTCAAATATAGTTTAAAGAGAACATTTATTAAGTCTTAAACAGGACAATGGCAACGTCTCAGCATCCAGATGAGGGGAAACCATTAGCACGGGTCATAATGGCATCCAAAGATGGGCTGAGCTACGGAGTGCTACAAAGGGCAAGGGGAACCGTCCCAAAAGCATGGCTGGAAGCAGATCACTATGTGACAGTTACAGGTGGGGCTGTAGCAGCAGGGACAGGACTGTGACTGGGGTGCGTCCATTGGGCAGCGGAAACGAAGTCCCTCAATGACATGAACTGACCCAGTGGCTGCAGCCACGGGACCAGGGTAGGAGCATTTGCAGAGAAGGCGCAGGACCGTGCCGGGTTTCCTCCTGCTGTGCATCAGGTAGCTAAGGGTTAGAACCCACTCACTGGCTGGCCCCTGACAACAGTACCATTACGTTCGAGGGGCTGACACTATTGGCCCAATGTCTTCTGACCAAGGCAGTCATGAGTCGTGACTGGATGACCCCAGGGTGGCACTCACCATCAAGCACACACCCTGGCAAGCCCCTTAGGGAGACGTGCCCCCTCGAGTCTGGTCAAGGGCTGGGGGTAATCCACTTTGCAGTGCACTCTGCCTAGGGGCAAGACCGGTCACGTCCTTGGTCAACAACCAAAAGGAATTCAGTGGCGGCTTTAGTCCTCATGGGGCCTCTGCAGATGGACCTGGGGCTTTCACGGTCATCAATGGCCTTCTAAACACTGGGTGCTTGGAAT